TACTGGTGTCTTCTCTATAGGAGCAAAAATGGCGGATGAGAGTACTCATCTCTATAGTGCTCTATTTATGTAGTTTGAAAAAAGTTCGAAAAGTTGATAGTTGATATCTACTACTCGGTATGCAGTATGTGGATGGCCATACCCCATCGCATAGCCGCATAGCATAGTCGAAAAAAAGTCTGAAAAAAGGACGACAAGGCGACAAGAGAAAAAAAATCTGGAAATCCGGAAAATCTTTGTTAACCTAGTCAAAACTTTTTTTTTCTGTGCGTACGATAAATTATTAATCATCAATTTATTATTGGTTCAGTACAGAAAATAAATTAAATTCCTTGGGAGCTTGTGTCTTTAACTGCTAATTATTATTTTATAGAAATGTTTAAATGCAAACATTGCAATATTCAAGTGAGCCCAGATAATGCCGCGAAATACGATTGTATTAATAAAGGTGATACAATATTCTTAGATGATGATAACAATTTCTTTTACGACGGTAATAATAAATTTTCTTAATGTAAATGAAGTATTGCAAATTATTTTAAATTTCTATAAAGTTATTTTTTTTTAGTAGATGACGTCTCAAAAGAACCAAGAGCTGTTATCGATGAAACTACTGATTATAAAGATTATGAGATTCTTGAAGAAAGTTAGTATAATACAATAGATCATGTATTTGAAGATAGAAATATTTTCAGCGAAATTAAAGAAACATTGCATATTCATATGTACCTTAAACAAATAGATGCCTTACAATTAAGAAAGAAATTTTTTTAGATGATTGTTTATATCTTCACTCGTACACAATTTTTACTTAGTAAGATATAAAAATTGTTTTAATTGTTTATAGGTAATTAAGAAGAAGAATATAAAGAGCGTGATTCTCGTAATTGTACGGAAAGTATAAAAAAATTAAGTACGTATTATAACACAATATAGTATTGAAAGAGGCTATGTTATGTATTTAAAATTTTAAGCTTAATATCTATGCATGTGCAGGTGCAGTATGGATCAAAAATGCAACTTTATCGCTTTTGAGTTTATATGAAGCGAATATCGACAAACTGGATCATACAAATAAAAAAACTCAATTATAGAATACAATTTCTCTCGGTTTGAAATCACTTGATTTACCGGTAACATATTTAATGAAAAACTAAATCTATTCATTAAGAATAAAAAAAACATTCATTATTTTTAAATTGATTAATTGTTGCAGTATTCTTCAGATCAAGTTAAATGGAAGATGAACGCTCTTTTGTCTAAATATAAATCATGTTTGGACAATAATTCTAGAAGCGGACGTGAATATCAAACCTTTGATTATTATGATGTTATACATCAGATAATGCAAAAAAAAAAAATAAAAAATTAACAGCTACTTCTTCCATTAGATTATCAAATCCGTTAAAATCTATAAAAAATAGTCCGCTAACTAATTTATCTCCTAAAACTGATTCTATTAACCTAACTAATGTAGATAAATCTGTTAAAAAAGAAAAAGTAAATGTTAACGAAGAATGGCTCAAATATCTTGAAATAAAAATAAAAGCAGATTCTGAATTTCGACAAAAATATTTAATTCAAAAAAGTGAACAAAATCAACTTAAAAAACAATACTTACAGTTACGAACCAAAGAATTGAAACAAAAGAGAGAAATAGAGATGAAAAAATTAGAATCAAAACAACGACGTCATGAAAAATTTTTAGATATGATTAAATCATTACGTCAAAATAATGCAAAAGGACAAAAAGAAAATGCTTATGATTCTGATTAATAGATTTCTTTTTAATGTTAGCAATACTTTCATATCTTATAGCAAACTTTGAATACTTTATATTTTACAGTTAATTAAGTTATAAGTTAAAAAATTATTTTCATAAGTTTCTTAAGGCCTTATTCCGGTGTGTACCGGAGCACGTATACGGTAGTTGTAGGCGATAAAATTAATATATAGTTATTTCTTTATTTTATTTCCTATTTAAATACGCTATCGTAGACGATAAGATTATTATTTAGTTCTTTATTTATTTTATTTCCTGTTTTAATACGCTATCGACTTAGTGAAACGAAGCGCAACGAAAACTGTTGTGCAGTGTAGTGCCTTTTCAGTGGTTTCGGATTCCTATGTAAACACATTTATGGTATAAATATGTGAAAAAAAGTAAGAAAGAGTTCAACCGATGCTCGACCACAACATATGTATTGTCCGGTCAGAGCGGATAGCTGGTGCAAATACTTCAGGACTGAAGCTACCAAAACTTTAAATAATTGTAAACATCTGCCTGCTTTTTCTAAAGACGTTCAAGAGGTTTTAAAACCCATCTACAAGGACTTGACAAGAGAAGAATTGCTGCAAAGATGTCTCGGCGGCAATACTCAGAACAACAACGAAAGTTACAACTGCTGCGTCTGGAGTATTGCGCCAAAACATTGTTTCAATGGAAAAATTATAGTTGAAATTGCAACATTCATTGCAACTTGCATATTTAATGAAGAATATAAACCTGTATTGAAAATAATAAGTGTCATGGGGATGAAAATTGGTGAGAACGCGATATCCACCGTGTCCACTTAGCTGAACAATAGTCGTTGGAGGCTTCTAAGGAGATGAGAATTCAACGTAGAAAGGATAAGTCACAAGAAATGAAGTTATTAGAAGATGTGGAAGGAATAATGTACGGCCCAGGCATTGCTGATTAAGCGTAAGTCACATTTTTTTACGTTTTTTTACGAATAAAAACTTTGAACGCGTTTTTTTCGAAACAACGTTTTTGAACCGCTTGTTGAAAAAATCTCAGAAACTACTATTTCGATCCTTATGAAATTTTAACCACATATTCTCTAGACCTATCGCTATATCCCGTACCTCGATTATTGCAAAATTCTAATTTTTACTATATTTTTTGGGCAAAAAATCGCAAAAAAAACATGTATTTTTCCTTTTTTTTTGTCCGCCATTTTGTTATTTTTGCATAAAAATTAATAATTTAGGTACGGGATATAGCCACTGGTATAAAAAACATAAAACCATTGTATTTTTTGGTTTCAGATGGACCGATCTTCAGATTTTTTCAACAGCGCACACCCTCGTATTTTTTAAAGACTTCTGTTTGAGTGCAATTTTTGTACCCTAAAAGTGCTTGAATCAATAAAAAAATATTTTATTTTATACTTAATGAGTGTATTTAACAAACCAAACAAGTTTTACATCAATAAAAATAATAATGATCTAAAAAAAAATTCATAAAAATAGCGTTTTTTTTAGGCGTTCAAAGTAGAAATAGGCCTTAATACGAAAAATTTGATTTTCATAAGTCGTTTACATCCCGAATAATTTCATAATTATTTATAACAATAATTATTATTATAATTAATAGTTATTTAGTAAAACTTTAACATAATCTTATTTAAATAGAAAATAAGTGAGTAATTTTAACAGATTAATCACAGTTTTCTTAATATCAAAGATTTTATGGTAAATTGAGTATCGTAAGAACTGTTGACAAATGATACTTTAAAATATTGTTATTTATAAGCATTGAAGTATTTTAGAAATATTTTTTACTTTTGTATTTATTACAATTTTACAAAAGATGTACAAATTATAATAAACAAATTACAACGATTGTTATTATGTTTTTATAGCCAAAATTGATGTACAATTTTTAAATTGGTTTTTTATACGTTATATTTAAGGGGTTATACGCAGTTAGAATTTTGAAAAAATCGATTTTTTTGCATTTTCGGAATGTACATATATTCAAGTATATTCTTTGAAAATTTGAAGCCAATCCGATAAATATTTTCGGAGATATACCTGAATTTTTAAGGCCATGTCAGAGTGTTAGAAAGCAGATAGAGTAAGAACCGGAGTAGCAGCTGCACTCACTGCACACGCTACCTGAGGTTCTTTTTTCTATTGTGTTTTATCGTAGAAGGCAAGTATACTTAGTCCACTAAGTACTTCAAGGCGGAAAAAAAATGCAAAAAAATATTTTTAAATTTGGTTCGGCTACTTAATGCTTATGTTTGCTTAATTGAACAATACTTACTTTGAAATTATAGTTGGTTCAAATAATTATTATTAAACAAAATTATTATTATTACAAAACAATAATTTATTGACCTGCAAAGTGTCAAAGCAATTCAACTTATTGGAAGGTTATGTTTATAAATTAGATTTAGATAAATATTAAGAGCGATAAAAATGCACTCTAGTGTTATACTAAAGTAATAATAATTTCATGTTATTAATGTTATCAAAAAACCAATAACATAATTATTTGATTTTAATTTGTAAATTTCGCTTTTTTTAAACTTTCAAGCTTTTTAAATGTATATACAGGGTGATTTTTGTAACGGGGACAGGTAATAACTTTTTTTTAAGTAACAATAGAAAAAAATCATAAAGAAAAAAGTTATATGGCACAACAAATGTCAACTTTCTATGACTTTACTTTTTTTGAAAATGCATCGATGCACCCGCTAGATATAGTAGCGCTTTTTTTTAAATGGAAATTTATTTTTTTTTTACACTATTCGACTCCTTTTTTTATTCTGCGTTAAAAAATATTAAGTGAATGTCATCGAAATGTCAATAGTTTGCGAGATATTTGATGTTTTATATCAGCAATTTATTTTATTACAATAAGTTTTCGAATGTTCCTCCATTGCATTCTAATCATTTTCTAATGCGCTTTTTTACATTTTTCATTACATTTTTTAATTGATATTGAAACAATACATTGTTATACGCTCCGCTCCTTTAGACCATGTATGTTCATTGCGTCTATTGAACATTCCATTATTCGTAAAAGTGCATTCATCTGTTCATAAAATTCTCTTTGCAAAATTTTCCCTTCGTTGTACTTGTCTAAGAAAAAATTGACAAAAACGTATTCTTCTAATATTATCCCCCACATATAAAGTGTGTCCTATCGAATAACGATATGGATGTGTATTCATGTCATTTTATATTAGTCGATGATTTAAAGGAGCGTATAACAATGTATTGCTCTAATATCAATTCAAATCAATGTAATAAAATACATTGCTGATATAAAACATCAAATATCTCGCACACTATTAACATTTCGATGACCTCCATTTAACATTTTTTAACGCAGAATAAAAAAAGGAGTAAAAGTTATTACCCGTCCCCGTTACAAGAATCACCCTGTATACCTATTAAAGAATCTGGTAATTAACATTATTTAATTTCTCTTTCATTTTTATTATACATTTCATTTTAATTCTTTGATAAGCAAAAAATAAATTAATAGTCTTTTTTTACTTAAATACTTTACATTTTTTCGTAAATATTAAATAAACATGTATAAACTTAATAATTTTAACAATCATAGAATATTCATTCTTTAACATAACTTGAATTTCTTTAAATAAGAACTGAAACATTAATGATACTTAAACAAATTTAATATGGTTGATAGAAAACGTTTGACTTTTTCTTGTTTTATTTTATGTAAATAATAGATAAAACAAGTTTGAAAAAGAAATATGAAAATATACTTTGAGTAATGATCATCCTTTTAATTTGATATGCAAATAACAGTAATTGATATAATTTTCGTACAAATGCCTCATGCAATAAAGTATTTTCAAATACGTTTTTGCTTGTTTCTTCTTATTTTTTTGTTGTTTTTTTTTTTAATCAAATCATTTAATCATTTTATAATATAAATCAAATTTTTCATATTAACCCTTTCGTCACGACATGCTTTGGAGCAAGTATCATCCCATATAAATTTGCTAGTACATGCATATCGTCGCATGGTATACGACCTTTATATGGGTCGGTCGATCGTTCATAGGAGGCTTTTTGCATGGACAACCGTATATGGATCGTTAGTAACGAAAGGGTTACAGATTTCTTTCTTTCAAACAAAACGATAATATTTATCGAGATTGGACAATATATTAATATATATACAGTACTAAATGTCTTTAAATAATTTTTTTTATTCTCGATAAGATATTAGCTGTATTATTCAACAAATTGATGATTTCTATCATTCAAATGATTCCCCTGTAAAAATATAACTTTCGAGGTAGGATCGTGAAAAAAAACCTTATCATTATTTTGTTTCTCTAGAGTTGTGATCATTTTACAAGGTATGTATTGCTGGCCAATAGTTTGATCGTTATTATGAAAATAAATAGGAATTCTCTGGGCGTTCAGATCTTTTTCAATGGCCAAGTATTTCGTAGGTTGATCAATATTTGGAACTATTGCACACTCATTAGTACGTTTTTGTTCGTGCATCGAATTTAAGTCATTGACATAAACATTTTGATTGTCATTCAATGTTAATAGTCGAAGATTTTGTAACTCGCTGAAAGCATAAACGTGCGGATCGTTTTTTCGGAACATGAATTGAATATTTTGCGATGTAATAGGAACGGCAGGTTGTTGTTGTATCATAGATTGAGATAACGTTTGCCCATATGTCCTCAAATTATTTGATTTATTGTTAGTTGATACTAATCCTCGATTAGATAGTCTTTGTTCGTTGGACGGTTTGGTCGATTGATTTATAATTTGAAAATAAACGGACTTATCATTATTATCTTGACAATTTTCTGTCGTAGTTGTAGTATATGCATCGCACTGTGATGGATTTATAAATGTTACTTCCGGTTGATAAATAAGATCAGATTTAGTCGATCTCAGTAAAAAAGGTTGAATATCATTTCGTATTTCCTGTCCCAAAATTTGACAATGTTTAGGATGCACTTTATCCGTCGTTTGTCGAATATTCGTAATCGGTTGAATGTGATTGTGATTTATAGAATAATGCGACTGCGTTGAAGCATCAGTATTGAATAATATTTCTTCAGAAAATTTTACAGATTTTTGTGGTCCATGAAATTGCATAGATTTTTTCGTTTCTTTATTTATATTCGTTTTAGTTTTTTTCTTTTGCATTTTCTTTTCAACAGGTGTACAAAAATCTATCGTTCGATGCATAGCGGAAGATTGTTCTTCTAATGGCATCGTACGATATTTATTTTCAAAATATTTATTATTAAAGCATTGTGTTTTAATTATCGAATTATTTTCGTTCGATGATACAGAGGAAGAAATATTGAAATTAAAATCTACGTTTTTATTCGATGATTCTTGAAAATATTTAACACCATCCTGTTTATTACTATTCAAAATATAAGTGAGATCGCTTATATTTGTAGGATCGCAAATGGATCTTCGAAGAATTGTTGGTACGTGTTTGAAATTTTTCGCAAATTTCCATGTCATAGCACGAGCATTTAAATTCTTGCATAAATCATCATCGTTGCCTATGTCCTTAGACGATTCACGAATCCTATGTTTTTTTTTAGAATCCTTTTCAAAATTTTCGATAAATTTGTATGTATTCATATGATGATCATCATCTCGCAATAAATGAACTTTGGAAGATTTTTTATTATTAATTTGATTTCTTTTAACGTCTTGTGATACATGTTTTCGACTATTTTTAATTAAAACTTTATCGTCCGGTATTCCAAATTTTACATTATGTTTTACGCGTCTTTCACAATTATTTTCATCATCCGTCGAAGAAGTAACCGTCGAAATAGGTCGATTAAACAGTTCTAATGGCAATTGAAAATTAGGTGGATTTTTATCAAAGTTTCTTTTCTTTGACGCAACTTTAGACTTATTTGGTTTCTTTAGTATGGAAAATAGAAAATTATTTGATTTAAATTTATCATCAATCTCGCAATGGAATTTAGGTGAAATTTCTAAATGTGAATCTTCAACGGAATCTGCTGTTAACGATTCCGAATGATCGGAAGATATATAAGATTTTGATTGTTTATTCGTTTCATTTCTAATATCGTTTTCAATAGTCGATGATTTAGATGAATTATCTTTTTGCTTATCATCTATGTAATCAGTTACCTTAACGTCTGGTCTTGAAAAATGTTGACGCATAGCGTTCATGTGTATACGTTTAAGATTTTCTTTAACTTTTAGAATTGGATCTGAAAATTTGTATGTATTGTATATTATATTCCTATAATTAATTATATTGTTTTATTTCTATACAAAGATGATGATGATACTGCTGCTGCTGTTGCTGCTGCTTCTGATGATGATGATAATGTGAACGCGCGATAAAGTTTAATTACATTAAATGACAGTACCTGGCAAATTAGGAAGAATAATCGTATCATGATCGTCGAAGTTTTCTGCACAAATCATCGCACATAATTCTTCATATCGAAACATTGCTGACCAAGTAAATTTTCTCGAATTTATCAAGTGTTTTTTTGAAATTTTTCTTTGGCATTGTATATCCTCATCGGAGGAAATAATATTTTCGTAGATTTTATCTTTTTTAGTGCAATCGACTCGTACGGTATTAGGTGAAAGTCTAAAAAAGAACAAGAGATTATATAAGGCACATATAAACTTCATTCTAATTTCCCAATTTATTGGCCGCAATACAAATTACAAGTGTATTGATTAGTATTTAAGCTAGTAATAAGATTGAAAAATGTTTTAAATCATGAAATCCTCAATACAAAAGAAATGTTTTGTATTTAGGAATTTTATTAAAATGTATTCAATTTTAATAACTTGTGGAAATATAAGAATTTTTATGACGGCAATTTCAAATCATCGTAAATTGTGTTACGGAATAACGCGTAACCAAAAATGTTTATGTGCCGACAAATTTTAGCAATCTCGATCCGAAACCGAAACTAATTCCCTACCTAAACCCAACCCCATAATTTCTAGTACCCGTATATCTCTAGTTTTTAAATATTGAATTGGAAGATTTATATGTGTGATTCAAATGTTGAAAAACTGTTGAATTAAAAAAAAAATAAAACGTACTCGAGTACATCTTCAGACTTTTCTGAGCAGTCTTGATCTAAAAATTTCGCAACTTCTCCTTGTAATCGAGCTTTGTAAAATTTACTCGGTTGTAATTTACCTGCAATCGATTATAAATAGTGTTAGGTTGTTTAAATTTTCTTTTCTGTTTTAATGTTATTTATTGCTTTGGCCAGATAAATAACGCCGAAATTTTTAATAAAAAATATATATATATTATACTAATGCCGTTTATTTACAATTAGATATAAAGTAATAAAAAGGATTTCTTTAAAAAAAACTACTATATTGTTTTATTTATTTATTTATATAAAACAATAAAAAATTTGTCAACGGAAAATAATACTAATTGTAAGATAAATAATTTATTTTCATTTTTAAATACATAATTTTATTTTATTTAGATATAAAAAATACCCAAAACTTGTTCAATATAAAATACAATAGTTTATGCGTATCATTTATTTATAAATAAAATACTAAAAATTCCACCATTACTTATAGACCATTGCACATATTTACATTCATACATACACACACATACCTTTTCTTACTTCTTTGCCTTTTGCCCCGTTTCTGTAAATCTTGATTAACTGTGTCAAAGATAAATATAGTATAATATAACATACACTAAAGTTTCGATTATATTTTTGTATCTTAACCTTTTCGATTATTAATTATGTATAATATACAATCAAACCTCTAAAACGCGGTATTCTGAAAATACGATTTCAATTTACGCGGTAGTAAAATAGCTAAAAGTCTCCTTTCAACATGTATACATTTATTTATTCTAACATAAATAAAAAGTACATTTTCATACAATACGATTTATGAATGAAACTTGGACAATCCTCGTACAGCATCAATCTCTCAATCGCACTGTTTTGTTTCGTTTAACACGGTTTCGATATAGTACGTGTTATATTCATAAACGCGTCATTTGTAATCACTTTCCTTCTTTTCTATTTTTTTTTTATAAACTATTATTATATATTAATAAATATTTCAATATTTCAATAAATTAAAAAAAAATTATTTATTTATATTTTGCATATAAACAATGTATGACGCAATTAGTAAAAAAAAGTAAATAGTTCGATTGTGTAGAAAATAAATCGATCGAGAATGAAATTAATACGAAATTGAAATCGAATGTTATTATTTACTAAATTCGTATTGGTATTTCATATAAATACGATTCTTATGTATATATATTAGATGTATAAATAGATCTTAAAGTATTTCTTGTGTGACACATAATTGTAATTTGAAATATTAAATATTTTTCTACTTTTTTATTATTTTACGGAATATGTCGCGTAGTATAAAAAATGACGATCAACTTGATAAAATTGCGAAAATAATTAAAAAGTCGAGCAATTTCAAAATTTCACATAACATACGGGTCTTTCATAGAAAAACCGCATATATATACCCGGTAGTAACCAAAGGATTAAACGATTATTATATAAAAATAATTTATTTAATATTATTTTATTGTCATTTTAATAGGAATCAAATAAATATATTTTTTTCCATTTATATAAATTCGTAAAAATGTAAACAATAAAGAATAGAAGTTTTCAATCTTTCTTAAGTAATCAAAGTTTAAGTATTTTTCCATTAATTTAATAACGTAAACAAAATATTTTATCTTTATTGAAATATATACTAGGAAATATTTCGAGCAGAAAGATAAATAGTTATATTTACTTACTGAATCCTTCGAAGCATCCAAAGCATTTCGATGCAACTTTTCAAGATCCTTTTTGCGTTTTCTTCTTTTAGACTTTATTTCTTGTTTTTTCGCATCGTTGATTTTTCGTTTACTATTGCGATTTAATAACGCAATATCTTTTCCTAATTTTCCCATATTTCGCGTTAATAATTATTATTTGATTATTATAAAACACTGAATGAAAATATTAATCATCTTGATGTACGTCTCTTCTTCTTCTAAGATTTTCGAAGAAAAACTTAGCTACGACTAAATTCAATACTTACGTACGTACAAATATATGTATATAAAATGTATTATCCAGATTTTTTTTTTACATATACAAACAATCTTTGTATATGTAATATTCAGGTGATCTGATCTCTGGAACGCTTTTGATAAATTTGTACATTCTTTGAAATAATACACGATCAGTGATTGGCCCATTGTTTTGTGTAGTAGAATAATTACCAAGTAGAAAATATCTCAGTGCAATAAAGAAAAATTTAATATTACGAATGGATTATTTTTATTTCATAATTACTCTTATGCTTAGTCATAAATATTAATAAAAAAAATATATTTATTAAGACGAAAATGAGCAGAAACACGAATTCGAAAAATTTATTGTTTATGATACGTTACGATTTGACCAATCAATAATCAACGTTTTATTTAATTGTATTGTTCAATTCATTGACCAATCATATGAAAGATCTAGTTTCTTTAAGCGAATCATGTAATCGTATTATATGGAATAATTTAATTTTCAGAATTAACAAATTTTGACGAACGTTTATACATATATATAAATAGAAATATTATATCAATTTTATTGGTCCATCTTTTCAATTCAATATTATAAATATAGTAAACATTCTTTTAAAAAACTTTCAATAAATCTATTATAAAATAAGTTTATTGAGTGGTAATGGTAAACGTTGATTGGTCAAAGAAAGGTAACGTTGAGCCAATGAAAAGTCGATAATTCGATGCGCGTGCTACTGGTCTTGCAATAGAGATTGGTGGCTATGTTTTAGATTAGCGCGTCGTCGACAGATAGCGCTGCAGTCTATCGGCAGTTTCGTTGAGAAAGAGGGGGAGAGAAAGAAAAGAGAGGGAGAGAGAAGGATTGATAGTAGACGTATCAGGAAAGGAAACAAGGAGGGATAGAGAGAAAGAGAGAGAGAGAGAGAGAGAGAGCGTGTGAGAGGCTGACTAACGTTCCGCGCATATCGGTGCGGTCGAATCCCGTTCTCGAGAACCCCAGTTTCCCGTAAGCCACACTCGGATGTTCGTCTCCTTCTCTCGTATTGTAAGGTTTGCGCGCGTCTTCGTTCCGTTGTCGTGTCGTTGCTACCACCGCCGTTGCCGTCGCTGTCGCCGTAGCCGTATCCCGTAGCCGTTGCCGACTGCCGCCACGCGTTGTGTCGTGTCGCGTCCTATACCACTTATTTCTCTCCTTCCTTTATCCCTACTACCATCCTGCCCTTCCATCTATCCATCCGTATAACTCGTGCCTATAACGCACAGGAGATATACTTTGAGGAAAAAAAACCAAATTAAAAGAAAGAGAAAAAAATAAATAATAATAGTGAGAGTTTGAGAAAGATAGGAGAGAAAGGAAGAGAGATAGATAGAAGTTGTAGGTAGAGGTAGAAGTAGAGAGAGAAAGAAAGAGAAAATATCGAGTCGTGCGTTATACGTGCTCGTGTCGTCGTCGTCGTGAACCGTGCTTTTGTTCTCGAAGATTCACTAGGCCTCGAGCCTGATAATTTACCAACAATGGCTTTCAATGGGGACGGTCCACACTCAAAGAGGCAACGACTCGAAGAATCTGGACACAGGGTGAGTAGCCGGACAAAACTACCTTCCTTATTTCTTCTGTCTTATGATACTTTTTTACTCTTTCTTATTATCCTTTTCCTTCTCCTTCTTTCCTCTCTCTCTCTTTTCTTTCTTTCTTTTTTTCTTTCTATTCCCTTGGGAATTGATCACTCCGGTTGGAGCTTCGTCTACGGGGAAAGAGAAAAGCCACTCGCCTCTGCTCCATCCGCAAGCGTACACGAACGAATACGAGTGTACACGAGCGTATACGAACGTGAGCTTAGCGTGCTTTTCGCACGGTACTTTAAATTATTTTAACAAAAGGAGTAATGTATTTACTTTGTTAGAAAAGAAAAAAAAGAAAAAAATAGGGGAAGAGGGGAAAGAGCAAGTGAGTGAGTGAGTGAGTAAGTGAGTGAGTGAGTGAGTGAGTGAGTGAGTGAGTGAGTGAGTGAGTGAGTGAGTGAGTGAGTGAGTGAGTGAGTTAGCTAGCGAGCACGAAAGATACTAGACAGAGGGTTCGAAGAGAAGCCAGATTCAGTGCGCCCGGCATCAGAGGGGGGAGGTCTTGAGTCGCCATTTATCCGGCCGTTTTGTTCGTCCATCGTATTATCGTTGTCGTCGTGAAAACGAGAGAGAAAGAAAAAGAAAGAGTGAGAGAGTGTTGAATTGTGTGTGTGTGTGTGTGTGTGTGTGTGTGTGTGTGTGAGAGAGAGAGAGCGCACACTGTTAAGACAATAGGCGATGCGCGCGTTTCGTAGAGAGAAATCGTTTCATTTTATCTCTCATTGCGGAACACTCGTTTTTCTCTCTCTCTCCCTTTCTCTCCCTTTTTCTCTATCTCTATCTCTCTTTTTCTCTTTCTATTTTTCTTTTACGCGCGCTCTTGTGTGCAGTATAGCGTGGCGTCGCGCCAAAGTGGAATTTCGGCACCAACCTGTTATCTCCTTCGGTCTCCACCTTCCTCCCCTCTCCACTCTCTATCTTTCCCTGTTCTCTCTTCTCTCCCCTCTTTATTTTTCTCTTTCTTATTTCGTGTTACTTTTTTTTTTATTTATCATTGTAGTTATTCATTTATATCAAACCATCCACCAAGCAACTACTTATCCATGCTACGTTATTTAGCTTGTAGTATGAGGATTATATTGGTTACGAACGAATATCCGGTCGAATAATCAACGTCGTAGTTTTCATGGTCGTCGCTACTCTGCCGGTACACACATCGATCGTTACTGGTGGTTACAGTCCGGATAGTAACGATCTTCTTTCTATTCGTGAGTGTGTGACTTTTAGATGGTGAAAGATTTTAAAGGAGGAACTTATTTTTTTCTCTTTACTCCAAATTCTTTTTGTTCAATATGACGATTAAGAGAAATATATATATATATATATATATGGAATTATTTGGTACATACAGCAAGATGAGATGTTTATTTTATTTTTTTCTTTCTGTTATTCTTATCTTCCTTTCTTTTTCTCTTTTCTGCTTCTCCTCCCTCCTCCTCCTCCTCCTCCCTATTTCTTCTTTCTTTTCTTTATGTCTCTCCTATTTTTCTTATCCTTCTCTCTATATTTTTGTTTTCATTTTCCTTGTATCTCTCTCTCTCTCTCTTTCTCTCTCACACACACACACACACACACACACACACTTTCTCTCCTTTTCTCTCTTTCTTTTCTCTTTTTTTTCTCTCTTACGATTTACTTACTTGTTTTTCTTTTTGGTTTTTCTTTGCACTAATTGGTCATTTTTTCATTCTCGTTTTCTTAGCACTCTCTCTCTCTCTCTGTCTCTCTCTCCCTCTATTATCGGAATCGACCGAGTTCATTGCCCCCGCGAGTTTATTGGTACACGTTCTAGTATTGGTTCAGCGGACCGCGAGCACCGTACTACTCGCTCTTTCTGCTTTTCTTCCTTTTGTTTGAGACTGACATAAAGGTGTATTGCATTTTCTCTTTGGAAGGATTCAATTGCTATTTTATCCGTCGTTAACGTCGATGTATGCATACAATGATTTACTAAAGTATTTGAATATTTTCCATGAAATACTTTATTAATTATAATAAGTGTATATTATAGAACATGTACTGAGTTATTATTAACATTAGATGGAGGTATGACTATTTACATTATATCTGCATAGTTTCAAGCAAATCGAATTATATGTAAAATAATAATAGTGATTTATTTCTTACAAACATAAAAATTACTGAAATCACAAAAGTATTTGAACAGATAACTTTTAAGCCTTTAATATTTAGTAGGTTTACCTTTACCACGAATAACATCTTGTAAGAGGTAATGCATATTCTACTAATTTTTCTGTAAAATTTGGTAATATGGAATTCCATATTTCAAGTGTTTTGTCTTTTAAATTTGTTTAGACTTTATTCTAGAAGGAGTCATCTTTGCTATTAAATTCTTTTGCGAATTTTAATCTTTTCTTTTTATTAATATCACTAATGTATGGCTTTTCTTTTTGGGAACCCTGGTATGATAATCATTTTTACATGACATTTTTCTACGTAATTCTGGATGTACATCTTTCTTGAAGTTCTGGTTAATTATCGTTGCAAGTTTTATAGCAGTAATCTTTAGATTTTTTTTTTATTTTACGGATCAAAGCACTTTCTTCTCGTATCGTTAATTTCTTTGGTTGACCTGAATGGTATTTATTTTTTAATAATGTAATATATAGTAGATCTATTTATATTTAATTTATTTATTTATTTCACCGCATATCTACGACACTTGACAATTAATATTTTCTTACTTTCACAAATTTCAAATCTTTTCGGACATATGAGATCAATATCGTAATATTTCATTAACACTGGATATGACTGAAAAATGTATTAGGTCGAGTCATAAATAACTTCTGTTTTTTATGAGATAAAGAATGGCGTTTCTGCAATTGATAAGTGCAAGACACCTTTCATGGAGTTTTTTTTTGCACTCTTTGCAATTGTTGAACGTATCTATTGCATTTTGTTTCAATATTACTGTTAAAAGGTTCATCAAAGTCAAAACGACGTCCTGCACTTTGTTTTTCTTTTAAGGTTGTATCTCCAGAACGGAATTTTACAAACCAATTTCTGACTGCCCTATCAGTTATCAGTTCTGCACTGTATATGCTGCATATTTTTTGTTGCCACCTTAGTGCTATTGCCTTATTTCAATTCCTAAAGCATTACATGTCGAATATGCACTTTTTACTATCCATTTCAGTGGTTAAGAAAAACGGTTAAATGTAACATTGACTGCATAAAAAAGTTAACAGAAGACTAACTAAATCCTCATCTATATAGTGATATTGAAAATCTGTTTGTTTCGGTGACTTATAGTAGGTAAATACGAAAAATAGATTCTACATAGCCGCATCGGAATTTACTTATGACTTGACCTAATACATAAGACAACAAATTAACGACAATCAATGTTTACAATTATTACCAGGAAAACTTTGTTTTCATTAATTCTTGATTTCAGTTTTATGTGTTTAAATATTTTTGAAACTTTATACATATCATATACATATATTTCGATTTGTTTGAAATTATACCTATAAATCTAGAGAATCATAATTCAATTTAATGTTAATAATATGTCGGTAAGTTTTCTATAAAATATACTTATTATAATTAATAAAGTATTTCATGGCAAATGTTCAAATACTTTCGTTAGTCACTGTACATATGTATATATTTGTGCATCTGCTATGTTTATATCGTAATTGACGACTAGCATGTGTCTCCTCGTCAATGTACACTCGTTCAATAACGTAACACTACTTATTACGCGATCGTGATTTAATCTTCGTTATGATAATAAATTGTTTTTTTTCGATTGGTCTTTAACCCACTTTTCGTGGAATATTTTTTTGCTATTATCCAAAACTTTCCTATTATTAATACTGTTCTTTTTTGTATTTTCAAACCTTGCCATGCTTACAGTTTTTCATATTTTTCTCCTTAAGGGACCATCTCAGTGTAACCGGTCAAAAAATTGTTAATTTCCGTGATTTTTTTTCGGATGGATAGGAGGAATGTATCAGGATGTTTTTTTTCCGAATAAGATCACTCTTTAACAATACAAAAATATTTTTTTTATTCGTTTTTATTTATTTTTACTTATTGTTAATAATTATTTTAAAAAGTGAGTAAAAAAAATGGGGACAATCGGTGTCAACGATTGTGATCGCAGTTTGCATCTAAAAGAAAAAAATCAAATTGATTATTAATCTGTAGGGAAGCCGCTATGTCCCTATGGAGATTTTTTTTCTTGAAATTTGACAAAATAGCGACGGCTCGAAGAAAAAGTACGAAATTTAGCCCTGTTTTTCAACAGTTTTTCGTGTGAAAAAATAGGAAGAATTAAAAAAAAAAGAAAAAACTTTCATAGGGACATAAAGAATAAAGTAAAAAAATTTCAATTTGATAGCTTGAAATCTCTCCCTCTGAGAAGTGACACTGTTTGTAAAAAGGGCATTTTGAGAAAAACGCGTTTAAAGTTTAGCGCGCGTCAACTTACGCTCCAATCTCTTTTTTCAAGAAAGGTTGTAGCGACCGTAATAATTCGAATTGAAATTTGAAAATTTTACAGAACACGCACAACTATATGTACTTCAAAATGAGGCCAAAAAAAAATCGTTTTTTTTTTTAAATTTTACACTGAGATGGTCCCTTAAAGGATGAGGAGGTAACAATTGATATCATTTTGATCTGCAATGATTTTTAGGAACCTTTTTAAACTGTGTATCGATATCGATACATATGGCGTTATAATAACTTATTGGTAGAGATGTTTTGTCAATTTCCAATAAACTTTCAATAAATAAATATAATAGTGCTTAGAACGAAAAAAGGATGCAATTATGTAAAGCTGGCAATTATTTCTAACTATAATGACAATAAATCATTGGTGAATATGTCAGATCAAATGGCAGTGTAGTATTGTTCGCTTAAAAGAACTTGAAAATTGCACCAGAAGTTAGCTTTCGAAATTTTATTTAACACAGCAATTGTAAGTGCACTGTTGTTTTATAATATGGAGAATTATTTCAATTTCAATTTTGGAATACAGAAGAAAATTATGGTTACCTGTTTATTTAATAGCACAAATAACAACACATACACAATAAAGATTTATTCACGCTATTGATTAGAAAATGACATGAATTAAAAAGAGATAATGGTAATCTACAAAACAGACATTCTATTTCTTGCAATAAAGAAAATGTAAAAAATTGTAATAGTAATGTGGCACGGGATACTACAAAAAGGGTGACAATATTTATTGACGATTCTCCTAATAAACTATTCTTATATATAACAAAATTTCATTATTTATGTTTTGTTTCATATGTTTGTTGTTATTTTCTTTAATAAGTTATTTTTTTTTTTTGTAGAATATTTTTCCACAGGAAAAGTAGGATTTTTTTTATTAGACTACTAGAAGCAAATTAAAAAAAAAACAATTTTAATAAAATCTGCACATATATATATATATATATGCACATATATGTGTTTAATTATTTAACTTCAATACAAATATGTTAATTGTTTATTATTTAATAGTTCGACTACGTTACGATATAAAATTTATGTTGATTGATACTTAAATAATAGAAAATAAATTATTGCTTCTTTGTACATGTGTTGAAGGTAGTATTGCGCTCGTTTTCTCGCCAAGGCGAATCGAATTTTATTGTTCTTTATTAATTGCACCGTAACTATAAGCATGTCATCGTGTAACTGTTCGTTATACCGTTTAAACCGTTTAACTTGAATGTTTATGCAATATATGTGTATATAAACTCATACATACACACATATATATATATATATATATATATATATATATGTATATATCGATAGAACTATGGCATTGTATCTTTGTCTTTTAATATCGTTTGATTTATTGAGAAAAGTTAAGTTACATCTGTGTTCGAACTATTTTATAGTTTAAGAAGTTAAATTATTGTTTTTTCTTTTTTTTTTTAACTAATGTCGACATTTTATTGTTGATCTTTTATTAACTCCATTAACTCCATTTATTTCAATATGTTTTCGTATTAAATTTTCATATAAGATTTTTTACTATCTTATACTACAGAGTGTTTCTAAATTTATGGGCATTAATTCAGGAATTGTTCTACTACGCTAGAAAAAAGAAATGCTCATATAATCAGATTATTTGTTACCTCACATGTATACGTATTTTTAAAGTAAACAACAAATACAACTCACCAAAAGATAGAAACAAAAGAATGTAAAA